CCCAGAGTGTTTCCCTGGCGCTCGTGAGTTTGCCCTCCATCCAAGTCTCACTTGGACTCCTTTCTGACCCCTCTGGCCGTCTCCGTTTCTCCTTGCTTGCTTTGCAGATGCATCACCTTCCGAGGTCACTCGCTTTAAATTTATTGTCCTCGTTTTGCACTGCAGCTGCTATTCCAGCTTTAATGAGCARCCCCGTTTCACTTCTGCCTGTGTTATGCTTTTATTCTCAACTGGTTGGAAACCTCATAACTTGTAAGATACCGGCATTTTATATTGAAATGTTAAACATGTTGAACCAGTTCAGAAGTAGGCATTTTTCCAGTGATGCAGCTTCAATTTCAAACGTTAATAAAAATTCCTAACATTGAACTCGATTTGGGACTGGATGGCTCACAGGCTTGATTATGTGATATTACTGTCTCCCACTTTTAAGTTGCTGGTTCAAATCCAGCCCAAGTCAGTAGCTGCTGAGAACTGTTGACGTATGTTCTCTGCTTAGTGACCTATATCGATTTGAGTTTAATGGCCATACTTAATGTTCTCAGCAGGGAGCCATGCATGCACCCTGTATAACTTCCTTGCATACCAGCRTCTTTCTCTTGTCAGAGACTGAATGGACCAGCAAGGCGGGTCTCCCTTCTCAACCATTGCTGTTGAGGAAAAGGGAAGGAGGGGATATTTTGTCCATCAGTTGTATCCTTTGTGCAGGTAATGGGCTGGTTTTGGTGTGCACAGTGCCACCAAGTAGAGGGATGTCCTTGTGGCACAGTGATCCTGTCGCTGCTCAGACTCCAGGGCAGACAGATTGTGCCTCCCTTCACGTTCCATCTGTTGTTCAGCCTGCCATTTATTTTCAGCCTACTTCTCAGAGTCTTGCCCAGTTTGTGGCTTGATCCTTACGGCCCAGAAAGGCTCTGCAGTTGGCTTTCTGTCTGCAAAAGTGAAAGAGGAGATAAGTGTCTGTCCTCATGTCTTGTTCACATATTTTGTCCTTTGGGAAAATGGCAGTTTCAAGGTTAGTGCCTGTGGTGTTGGGAGCCATTTAGTGTTGTGCAGTGAGTGGTGGGTTGAGCAGCTAAGGGACAGAGCTGGGTAGCTTCGCTAGTCCTGACCGCTGCTCGTATCTATAGCAAAGCTGCGTCAGGCTCGTCCTGGGCTATGTGCAGGAAAATGGGAAAGCTTGGCTTACACAGAATGCCTGTGGAGAAGATCTTCTTAGCAGCCAGCTGAAGTGCCTGTTTGAAACAGAAGGATTGTAAAAGTGGCTGGTGATTTCCACTTCTGCAGGAGTTTCTTTTCTAAGGCTTCTCTTCCTCATAGTTCTTCACTTGCCACCCTCCTTCCTGACGAAGAGCCCTTTTTTTTTGCTACTAATGAAGTTTGCTACCAAACTTTTCTCTTTCCCCCACTTCACAGTCTCCCCCAGCAGTGGGGAGCGCTTGGTGACAATCCTGGGGATTTCTCGAGTAGTCTGTTACCCAYTGCAAAGTTGCAGCTGTTGAAAAAATTCAAAGCATCTCTTAAATCACTTTCCTTGGCATTATCCTTAAATTCAGATTGGGACTTTCAATAGGAGACCGATTGAGAGTCCTAGCAGTCCTGATGAATATTTGTATACATGACCTTAGCTTGGAGGTACAACGCACTGTATGTTGAAGGCAGAAGGAGGCTTTTCCACAGGCTTTGGTGGGCTTTCGCTTAGGCTTGGAAAGAATAACAGGAAACACTGGAAAACGTAGCAAGGGTAAACAGAGCAGTTTAGTTACATTAACTGTCTCAAGGAGAAGCTTCACTAATGAGCAAAGCAAACAAAGCAAGTGCTTTTATTTGGTATTGCTGTGGGAAAACAAGCAGCTGTAAATTGCATGTAGCTTAAAAGGGATCCCCAAGAAGTTATGTGGCTGAGGACCAGAGTGCAGTTCTGGCGTCCTGAATTACTGGGCAGGCTCCGACTGAGAGTGGTGTCCTGGAAAGCAGCTCAGGCTTCAGAGAGGCCAGGGCTTTGAGACCTTGCATACTACTATTTATTCATTGCAGTGCTACATGAAAGTGCTGTTCTGCAAAGAAGAGCATCAGAGATCTGTTGTTGCCTCTCTGTGACTGCAAATAAAACGAGCCTTGCTGTGACTGCAATCAGTCAGTGAGTTTTGGTCAGTCCTGCTGCAGGACTCCCCCTGTGCTGCCCCGGAGTATTTACCTGCTAACCGCTGTGTTAGCAATATTAGCAGAGAAGCTGGAGTTTAAATCTCAGTTCGTTCACTGCAGACAGAGTACAAGGGCCATCTGACAGCCCCAGTTGTCTCTTTGCTGTTGTGCAGTCTTTTCTTCAGGAGGAGAATGCAGGAGGAACTGGAGGAGCCTGTGAGCAGAGTGCACACACCAGGTCGTGACAGTGGTGCTCACAGCACAGGGTGAAATCGAGCTGTGCTCATCTGTAGTAGCTGTGGTGGCTCTGTGGTGTTCGGGGTAACGTGCAGCTCCTTCTCGTGGCAGGGTATTTCCAAGGGCTGATTAACTGCTTCKAATTCCATGTGAATTCTGAATTGCAGGTGAGAATAGAGGATTACAAAGAAAAGGTAAAGCATTGCATTGGTGCTTAGACTGCTGTTCAGTGCAAACGCATAATGCGGCCCAATTTACTTCCAATAAAAGGGGAGAGGGGACTGTTCATTACTGAAAAGAATCAGCATGGCATTGCATTTACTATGTGTTTAGGAAGAAAAAAACATTCTCTTTGATGTAGCTGGGGAGCCTTGAACTTAGCAAAGAATGTGTTAGTGTGCTTGGGTATGCCTTAGTCCTGCAGGTCATTTAATCCTTTCCTCAAGTGAGTCATTGTAAGGTAAAGTAGATGGGAAAGGTTCTGAACTGCCAATTAAAGCAGCTGCAAAGGTGTTACCAGCTTCGTTCTGCTAGAAACTCATCTCTGAAAGCCCCAGGGAGGTTCCTGTGTGGGAAGGAGGAGGTTCCTGTGTCCCTTGAGGCCAGATCCCAAGCTAATCTGAATTGGCAGAGCTCTTTTGGCTTCRGTGGGGCTCCTTTACTGCTTCATGCAAATAGCTTAGGCACAATTACTCCAAGCTTGCAGCTTTTTAAAGGATTCCTGTTCACAGATCAGGAATTATTCAGGAAGTTGTATGTTTCTCCACATCAAAACATTGAAGGAATTTCAGAAATGAGTAAATAACCTGTAAATAAGTAAGTAACTCTTGAGATGTGGGTTTTAACTCAGTCTCTGCAGAGACTGCGATCTRTCTCAAACACTTCTATAGAAACAAAGCTGAGTGATGAATTTTAACCTCAACAGTTCTGCCAGACAGTTGTCTTGCATGAGTTCACATTTAAAGTAAAACTAAGGATAGGAAGGTACTAATTAGTAACTGTTGGCCTTGTTTTTATGCCAACCAAAAAAAATCCTACTTTCAAGAAGTATAACAAAGAGTAAATTTAAAAAGCTAATCAGAAAGCTAGAGCACTTTTTATTTAGGGAGCTCTAGGGGAAATGCTATTCCCAGCTTTTAGGAATATGAACTTTAGATGGGATTATTTGCATTGGAGGAATACTGCTGGAACTTGCTTCATAGCAAGTGAAGAGTTTTCTCTGTGTATAGAAGCAACATGGGTAAAATACTTGGAGTGAAATGCAGGTTCCATTGAAGTTAATGGCAAAGCTCCCATTCACTTCAGCAGAGCAAGAATTTCACTCTTTTGTGTTTTGAAGTCAGAGTTACTAATAGACTGTTAAATTATTCCTGCATGCATCAAACAAAATATGTTTCATGTTAATGTTTCTCCTGCCTTCAAAACCCACAAAGGTTTAAAAACAAGAATAACTATGAACTTCTGAGTCTAAAACTTAAGTTAAATGTAGTTTTGCTAGAAATAACAATGTCCCTGGAGATAAATCTAAAATAATAGACGCCACCACTTAATCTTCACTTTAAGCTAAAAATGGCCTAWATGGTGGTTTAAACTAAGCCATAATTATCAAGCTGCTGAAGCAGGTTTTGGTTCATTGCAACTAGACATATATGTTGTGTTTAGGCTTTGAATAGCTGAGTCTCAAAACTGGAGAGAAGTGAAGCCAGGAATGCAGTCAGAAAGCATCCAGGAGCCCCTGATTTGCAGAGAAACTGTATGTATTAAACAGTCCAACACCATGTTTAAAGAAACTGCTCTTGGCTTGCTCGGCCCGGCCAGCTGGAGACTTAGAGAGCTACCATTTAATTCAAGCTTTTAGGTTTTGTAGCAGTCTTCAACTCAGTGGTGACAGCTGTTATTTTGCTCAAAAGTGACACTGAATGAGGCACCTTTATTTGAAAGCCACTTTCCATTTCATGCTGGAATTGAGGGAAGGATGTTAACCCTACAAAAGGTTATTCTGTGCAGTTTTTTAATGGCAGCAGGATGGAAACTCCACGGCTTTCTTGTGTTTGAAGCAGGTAAACTTGGGTATATCAATTATCCATTCTTTGTCACTGCAGAGACCGTGCAAAAAGCCTTAACCTTCAGCAGAGAAGTCTCACCTTGCTGTAGCATCCACAGAGAAAAAGAGGCTACTTTTAAGAGCAATTTGTCCTAGCAACCCAAAAGTAGAAATTCCACAAATGAGTCCTCAGTGGGACTGGTGGATGGATGTGCTTTTGAGCTCTCTGTTTTGGTAACGAGAGTAGTAGACATGCTTGTTCTCATACAGCTTTGGAAAGTCTGTGCTGATGCTTTTCTCAGCTTGAAGCAAAATATGTTACCAGTGCTAATGGGGAATATATATCTAAAAATAAAACGAATACTAAATTCTAAACTGTGCAATTAAGACAACAGAGAATTTCAAGGAAAGCATCATTTGCTCATGGTACTTAGAGCAGCAAGTGAGCGATTGTGTATTGTTTGAGCAGCCTATTTTGTTAATTGCTGAGATGTGAATGTCATTGCTAAGTGCAACGGAAATGAGAAACCCCCACGATGACCTGTCTTTGTCTTGTTTTATTTTAATCAAACAGCATGGGAATGAGCCATGATGATGATCATCTATCCTGCGCAGGGAGGTCTCACATTATGTCTGGAGAATGGGTGAAGGGCAGGAACCCCAGTGACCTTTCCTGGTCTTCATGCAGCCGAGATGACCTCGAAAACTTCCTAAAGTAAGGATTGTGCTGAGTACGGAAAAACCCAGGCAAGAACCTAAGATGCTGTCTGAAAGTGCAAGTCTAATCTATATGCATGTGTCGTTAGGGTGTGCAGAACTTGTCTGCTTTAAAGCAGCCCCTTTGAAACTAAGGTCTGTGGAGGGCAGAAGGATCACTTGTAGCTGTCAAGATACTGATAGCTTCTTAAAAACAATCCCGGTGCACCTTCATTTTACATGGAGATATCCTCCAGGTTTGCAGTGACAGGAGTCTGCATATAGGAACCCCTAAAAATCATCCCCATTGTAAGGTGATGCCAACTTTGTGCTGTGCTCTAGCAGTACTTCTTATGGAGGCTTTACTTTGCTAGGAGTTAATTTAATGTGTTTTCTCACTTCTCAGTGCTGGTCTTAAACAATTTTATAAACTTTATTCCCACTGCATCTGTATTTCAGTTCATGCCCTTCAACAGTTCAAGAAACATTTTAGTCCCAATAGTTATTCATGCTCAGATGCTTTAGCAAGTACTAGAATTGTCTGAACTCTGTATTTGTGGTCTTAGACCTGTAGAGTAACTCTGACAGTGTCTGGCACAGTTACCAGTGCTTCTGTTACTAATCTGGAGATTAGAGGTGGGGGATGATGGAAGGGAAATAGAGGAAAAAAAAAGGGGGAATTAACATAATCATACAGACACAAAGTTGAAATAAAAGTTGTGTCTGAACTCACTCTGATCCCACTGTGACAGAGGGGAGATGCCACAATGATGCTGCAGTTAGTAAAAGGTTGTTGTAAAGACATAAGGAAAATCTTTGTGTCTGTAATGGATAAGAAAAGAAACTAAGGGCTTAAAATTCAGCCAGGAAGATTGAGATGAGACATGAGGGAAGACTTTCTAGCTGTTGTAAAGCTATTGAAGAAATTAGGATAGATTGCTTGGGGGCAAAATAGAGTCTCCATCAGATCTTTAGGAGTAGGTTACACAAATGTTTACCCAGAGTCATGTGAGTGTAGCTGATTCTGCCTTGGGGCCTGGGATGATGGTGGAGGGGTGAGTTCCCAAGGACCTTTCTATCCGTAATTTTTGACAGTTCAGAAGGGTCACAGAAAGGTACTGTGAAAGTCACTCCTGTTCTGCACAGTATCAGCTTCTCTACAGCACTGATCTGACACTGCAGTTCAGAGGTGCTGTCCCTTAAAGGCATGTTTAATTGCTGCTCTCTGCAGGTCCAAGGTCAGCACGTGCTTGCTGGTAACAGACCCCCGAAGCCAGTACGCRGTGCGGCTCCCTCACAAGCTGCCGGGAATGCACTACAGCGCAGACGAACAGTGCCAGATCCTCTTCGGGACCAATGCTACGTTCTGCAAGAAYATGGAGGTAAGAACGTGTGAGGGGGCACCTGGAAATCAGGTAGGCAGTGAAATTAAAGCTGTCAAGTGTTCAGGAATAGAAGGAACTTGTACTTTCCTCAAAACTAGGCAGTAGGATTTTCTACCTGCTTAGTACTGCTGTGAGCTTGGTAAGTCATTCCAACTGACCTTCATGCCAACGGCACATATTTCTGCATGTTAATCTCCAGGAAGAACCTTTTCTGTTTGCAGTCAGTCTCAGTTCAAGCACAGTTTCCTTTGGACACTGCTATGGCAAAGTACTATGGCAAAGTACAAAGTGCAAACAACTTGTGCCATGTACTTGGGTAAAATGGAAACTCTCATTTTTGGTATCTCTAGAATTAGATAACATTTGAGACTAGGCTGTTTGACTTTTCCTCTGGAATTTTGGCACCTAAACACCTTGTAAAATCTTACGCATAGTTCGATATTGTTGTATTCTGACCGGAGCTTGTCTGTGTCATGCTTTAAATAGGGATTGGAGAAAGGCTCATTTCCACTATGTGCTGGGAGTTATCCAGAAGACATGAAGCACTGCGTCCTGTCACCAGCGCCAGTTGGTGGTACTGTGTCCTAGATAGACCAGACAGAGAGTAGTCAGGTTGCTGGCCATCCTTAAAAATGAGCATTTCTGTTCTTCAATTTCTCTCTTAGTTCCGTTCTGAAGAATCTTGGGATATTAAATCAATTATAACAAAATACTAATCACCAATCGCCGAGATTTCTAAGTGCCAAATGACTAAGACTGTTGAACACATGCAATCCTGGGAACATGCTCTTAATTTCACATTTTCTGTTTTTATTTATTTTGGATTTGGAAGCTAACAGTGTTAAACATGAAAACAAGAAGAAAAGAATCTGGGTAGGTTGTATTTTCCAGACCCGTGAAGAAAATGCACACCACCAGGTTAGAAACAGTGTTAGAATATAGGTCTATAAAGAACCCGGAGTCTACCCAGGAAAGTTCAGGTTCTTTCATCTATGTGGGTGTCATCCTGCTTGTCCAGCACTGGAACAGATACTGTTTTTTCTTGTTGGAATAAGATTTTTTCTCTTCCTGGTTAGGCCAGTGCCTAATGAGAATGTCAGCTCAGTGGTAGGTGGTCAGCATTTCTCATGCAGAAACAGCATGTCCAGTGGTACAGCCCAGATTTGCTTCAGGGAGAAGTTGCCTGCCAGGATATCAAAGCAACAGGTGCTGTTCTCTTCCGTCAGATACAGATAGCAGGTGTCGGTGCCTCCCAAAAGTTTTCACCGTTCTTCTTTGACATCTTTAGAGCACAATGAAAATTGTGCTCTTTTCCTCCATCACGTGTTCAGTATTTCCCAAAGAAACAGAGATTTTGGAAGGTCTTTAGAATGAGAAGCTGTGTAGACTGCAACGGACTAAAATAAGTTGCAAGCCCTTATTTAAGGCTGCTTAACATTTCTTAGTCTCATCGTGAAGTCAATGTATCAGTAATGTCATATGCCATTAATATAGGTAAATATCTGTGTCCATTTATGCTACTCTGAAGTGGAGATTTAAGGCAAGGGAAGTCAATTTTTTAAAGAAAACGATAAGCTTTGATTTTTAAACCTTTGAAGTTTTTGTTCTTTTCACCTTTGTATTTCTTGTGCCTCATCTGCAGAATGCTTGTATTGTAAGTCTCAAAGCTGTCTACAAAAATATGAACCCAAAAAAAAAAATTGGCACAAGTCATTGGCATTAGCTGTAGAAATTATTGGCAAATAGAGCTGTCTCCTCTTTCAGCCAATGGTAATGTGGTATTTTTAATTCAATAAAGTATTAAAAAAATCCAAATGTAAAAGTAGTAAACATTGGACAATAAATATTTGTTAAAAAAGGAAATCAACTTCAGGAAATTAGCCTGCTCAGTCGTCTTCCGAAGACGTTTGTCTTCTGTCTACTTTTTTATTTAATAACAGAGCTACATTGCAGCATTTCACTGGAGATAGCTGAGCTCCATAATTATATCAGGCAAACTGGAGGTCCTGTGTTCAAAACTGGCRTACAATATGATGGTGAAGCAAATTCTAAAGATTAGAGGAATCCAAGACTGCACCTTCTTTAAGAAGCTGCAGAAACTTTCAGTGCAGTAAGATTTTCCCTTAAAAGTGTCAAGACACTTATTTTTAAAGGGATATAAATATCTTTGACAGAGACTTGAGATACTCTGGTCATGAATGGCAGGATTTATTTCTCTTACTAGATAATTTATCCATGAATATCCCAGTTTATCGAGATACTTCAGATTGAATATTGCAGATTGTTGCTCCATGTTTGTTCTTAATGAAAACTGAAGTTCATTAGTATAAAAAATAGTCTATAGAATTATAACAGGTTTGTTCAGCTTTGTAATTTTGTCTTATCATTTTCTTTTCAATTTGTTTAGACACTGTCTCTGCAGTTTAATATGCTAAAATTAAACAAAAATAATTAAAAGTTTTGTTTGTGATAATCAGCTTAGCCATAGCCTGTTGTTGCTGTAATCGGTGACCTCTGAGATGTGTAATTTAGGATGTGCTTCTACAATCTCTTAAGAGTTAGCAGTGTGTGTCACCTCTTTGAAGAGCTGTAGAACCAGGATTTTAGACTGGAAGCTTGTCGGGCAGAACGCAATCAACTTCAACTTATTGGAAGCCCCTAAGTTATATTATGATATTTTACAAATAATAAAAAAAAAAGATTACCAAGATTACCTAGAACTGCTTGAGAGAATACAAATGTATTTTGGTTTATGCTGTGCTAATAGTTCTGTTGGTTTAAGATAAATCCAGTGGCAGGGTTTTAGGTTAAATATAACTGAATATTAGATAGGTGAATTCCTGCTCACTGTCAAGAAAATAAATATTTGTATGGCTCTGTGGAAAAATTCATGACCAGTTTTGATCTGAGGAATAAAACAAGACAATAGAAGTTGGATAGTTTTCAAGTGAGATGATTTCGCATACAGTAATGAGTATCTTGAGACCGTTCAGTACTCACCATCTGACTTGCATAGTTTTCTCCTGTAATTTGCAAACGGCTTAAAGTATTTTCACATGATGCTTTTTGTTATTCTTTCCCGTTGCAAATGTTGCACTCTTTGGTTAACAAGAATGGTTATCCGGTGGGATAACCATCTTCTACCATGCCAAACTTGCTGCCTGTTTTTGGGTGGGCAGCTGCACAGTTGGGCCCCTGAGGTCACTTTGAGTAACAAGGCGAATTTGGCTCAGCTCAGCACAGAGGTGCTCSTCTCGTAGGAGGCTTCCTTTTGAAGGAGGCTGCGTTTAACAGAAACTAAACGGATGATTGTGTCAGTCCAAAGTCCTGGGCAAAGTCATGATGTGTTCGCAGGAGAAGCTGAACGGAAGTGTAGCTTTGAAGTTGCATCGCCTTGTCTCCCAGTGCGTTATCAGTGGCCCCCAAACACAAAGGCCTTTGAGGCCTCTGGTCCTTGTGAGCCCCAACACACTGGCCTGTGCAAATGCCTGGAAATTCAACCTGTCTGACCTCGGTTCTTTAGATCCGCGCTCTGCTGTGAATCAAGTATTGTGAATTCATTTCACCCCCACGCAAGAGGAAGCAGAGTCTCTATACCACGCAAGTGAGGAAGGTCTCTGCAGAGGGGAGGCTTTAACTCTTTGCTCTCCCCTTTATTTAGCTCTGCTCTCCATGGAAGGAAGAACACAAACTGCTTATCCCGGAATCTCTTGCAGAGCAGATACGATGATTCTGCATCAGAAACGCATAAATGTGGTGTTCACAACCTCMTGTGAAAATACGCTCTGTGTTTAATTGGAACTGGGCTTATTTTTTAGGCTGGCATGCCTATGAACAGAGGCTTTTGCACTCAAATTATTTTTTTTCTGGAAAAAATGTGATTTCTATCTCTTGTATCCAATGTTTGGCYTTTTGTTTTTTATGCCTTTTGGCTTATTTATTATTAACACATTTTTGCGGCTTTTTACATAACCATTATCTTTCAGTATTGTTTTGAGTCAAAACTCTGCTCAGGCTGAAATGGCATGTGGAAAGAAATTAGTATTGCTACAAAGAAGGTTTTTTTTTGCTGAAAAAGGGACACTGTCAACTCAGATGTAACTGAGAATGTGGGTTTTGGAATGACACTGTACTTTGAGAAAATTCAAGACAGCTAGAATTAGCCTCACTCTTTTTTTAATCTTAAATGGAAGTTGTCTTTAAACAAATACACATCTCCCCTAGGAGCCACAAGCCACAAGGCAGTAGCACGGAACAGGGGGGCAAAGCTGAGCAGGAGCCAAAAGAGACTGACTAGACATCTGCATTAAAATGGAAAAGGATTGCAAAAAGAGAAAGCAAAGGAAGCAAAAGTTTTAACAATCAAGTGAATTTTATGTGTTTCTTCAKTTTTTTCATAGCTCATGATATGATGAGGAGTAATATTAAGCAGTTGTGGGTCTCTGTGGTCTTAAGCTTGCAAAGAGCCTGGTGGAATGGACTCTTGGACTCGGTGCATGGGAATGAATGAGCCTCTGTGTGGTTGCAAGAGGTTTTTCTTTGCAAAGTCATTTGCAAGATTGAGACAATGATAGCAAGCCCTATTATTAAGTAATGCAGAGAATATTTTCAAGAGCATGGTATTTAGATAGCGAACTGATGTATCCTGAAAATAAGAGGTCTAATTGTTGTTTTCTGTATAACAAGGGACTTTGTCTACATAGTTTTCCGTGGACATGCGCACATTTTAGTGTCTTTGTAAATATAATAATAATACATTTGGAAAAGGATGGTTTGGGGTTTGTTGAGACTTSCAAGCTAGAAGCCTGGCAATTCTAAAATAAAAGCAGAAGGTTTTCTTTTTTAGAACTGAAGGTAACAGTTTACTTAATTGTCATGCTATATTTTACAGTTTTCCTAATGTAGGTTGTTAAAATTGAGACTATTTTTACTTTGCCTCTTTCATGTGAAACTGAAGTGTCCTATTTCACTGCTTCTGTATGTTGCAAGAAAGACCT